ACACAACAGCTCGCAGCAGCGGCCGCAGCAGACGCAGCCGCAGCGCCTCATGCCGCCCCCCAGCGAAGTCAATCAATATCTGTAGGGGGGCTCCGGGGGCCCCGGCCCGAACAACAGGCAGACACTGCGGCACAAAAGGGACCCGGAGGTGGCGGCCGCAGGTGCGAAGGAAGACGACAGGGGAACAGTCGGCTCCGCCAAAGCGCGGCTCGCTTCGCCACGTTCTGGGCACCTTCGCTCCCGCTCCGGGGACCAAGTTTGGCGTCGCGGGCCGTACTAGTGCGCTCCAGCCATCTGGCGTGCGCGCTTTGTCACGATAACGGGGGAGGTGTTGAGGCAGAGAGAGAGAGAGAGAGAGAGAGAGAGAGAGAGAGAGAGAGAGAGAGAGAGAGAGAGAGAGGCGTTATGCAAGGCGGACGTAGACTGTCGATCCCTTGACCGCTCACTCAGTCTCTGGGACCCCCGCCCCGTTCGTGCAGGCAGGGCCTGGTGCTCTGCGGGGGGTTCAAATACCACCTCCCGCGAGAGGTGCTTATTTTTCTTGTTTTCTTTTCTCTTTTTCTTCTCGCCTGCAGGCTGCTGCTGCACGTATAGCCGGCCGCAGTGAGTTAGTGTCGCACCGTTTGTAGAAGGCGAACACAGATACGAGTAGGTGTCACCTGCATGACCCGAGGTCGAGGTACTGAAGCTAACATTAACGTGTTGGGATCGTAATTGGAATCGGTCGAGACGGTACGTTCAAGACGAGGGGGAAAAGCTGGGAGAAGTCACCCCTGTACAACCACTCCCCCAGCCCCAGTCTCTCTCTCTGCTAACGAGGCAGCGGGTAGTCCACTGTCTCTCTCGCACCCCCTTCCGCCGTGGGAACGCCGCCCCGGCGCTGACTCGCCGGCAGCGACACTACCGTAAGTACCCCGACCGGCTCGTATATAAATTGCATGTCGCGCTCACATATATGTAGCACCAAATTGGCCGTGTGCGGCGCGCGCTGCTTTTAAGCTAATTTAGCGACGCTGCTCGTTTCGATTTCGCGTGTCCCCCCGCTCGGAATCGCACACCTTTTGTTGCCCCCGCGCTTCTGCCGGCACAGCCAATGACGCTGAACGGCGCGGCAGGACGGGGAGGCTGGGAGTGGAGCGCACCACTTTGAGATGGACTTTGTTCGGAACCAACCCCTCCAACTTCCGACACATATCCAACATGCGTTATTTTGAAACGTCAATAAGTGTAGGAGACAGAGGACATCGAGGAGCGCAGAGAGGAAGCGAGGAAGAAGAAGAAGAAGAAGAAGAAGAAGAAGAAGAAGAAGAAGAAGAAGAAGAAGAAGAAGAAGAAGAAGAAGAAGAAGACAGAGAAGGAGAGGGAAACGAGACGGTTAAGCGACGACGCTTTCCTCTCATTAACGTGTAGTGACAGAGGGCGTAGGCTGGACGCAACAGCTTCGCTCCGGCCAGGCGAAGCACGAGAGGCGAGAGGCGGGCACACTGCCCATTCAGGCTTAATCTAAATGCTCTATTGGTCTTGGCATCGCGCGATCTGGCGTCGAGGGTTCTTATAATGTGGGCGAGTGGGAGGACGAAGGAGGACGAAAGGGAAGGGAGAGAAAGATAAAGAAGAAGAGGGCGAGAGAGGTGTCGAGCCAGCATGCAGATGCATCGGCCAGCATCGTTTACCAGCTCGCCACCAGTAAATCAAAGAACAAACAACATAATTCAAGTGCATAATGCCACCATATTGTTGGCCCGGACAAAACGCTCTCTGGCCGGCCCGTATCTGCGTTTAGTATTGTAATAACGACGGACAGCCCCGGAGCACGAGTGCGGCCGGCGGGTGGTGGTGGGGGCGGCCCGGGGGCGGCAGGCCGAGCGGCGGAGGCCCCGCCCCCCGCGGCCCGCCGACCAATGGGGCGGCGCCGCCACCACCGCCGCGGCAGGAGCGGGCGGGGCTGGCGGGATGGCATTCCCCCTCCACCGCCGCGGTCCGGGGGAGGCTGCGGGGGGAAGGGGGGCAGCCGGCCGAGCCGGACCGGACCAGACAGGCAGGCTGGGGACTCAGTCGAGTGCGTGCTGCCGAGCAGACAGGTTGTGTGTGTTGTCCAGAGCGACCTCAGTGAGTGCAGCGAGTGCAACGAGTGTGTGCCAGTGAGTGAGCAAGTGAGTGACCCGCGAGTGATATGTGCCTTTGATTCCGGCTATTCGGATCATGATGCCTCTTGCTCCGGAGAGAAGTACCATGTGCGTCCCCGCCAAGCCCAAGGCTGACTTCAGCATCGACTTCATCGTCGGCAACAACAACAACAATAACAACACGAAGAAGGAGAACAACAATGTGGTGCGGAGGGGCTCGCCGAGCTCGCCGCTGAGCGCGCGCCAGGCCACGCCACCGCACCCGTACGCCAGGTCGACCACCTCGCCGCCGTCCGGGTCGCCGCTGTCGCCCGCCTCCCGGACGACGGACTCCACCCTGGACGAGGAGGACGAGATGCGCGCCCGGCTGCTGAGCATCCAGGCGGCGCAGTCGGCCGCGCTCCCCGGCGCGGGCGCGCTCATGCTGCCGCACGGCCACCTCGGCCACCACCAGCACCAGGGCTCGCCGCTCGGCTCGCCGCTCAGCCCCGGCGGCGGCGCCAGCCCCAGCCCGCCGCACTCCCCCGCGCACAGCCCCGCGCACTCGCCCGCGCACGGCAGCCCGCCGCACCCGCACCCCTTCCTGCTGCGCGGGCTGTACCGGCCCGAGCCGCACCTGATGGTGCCGCCGCAGCTGCACCCGCACCTGCAGCCGCACCCGCACCTGCAACCGCACCTGCAGCCGCACCTGATGCACCCCGCGCACCCCGGCGTGCACCACCCCGGCGCGGCGCAGCTGCAGCACCCGCACCTGGCCGGCGGCCCGCCCAAGGACTCGTACCCGCTGTACCCGTGGCTGCTGTCGCGCCACGGCCGCATCTTCCCGCACCGTTTCCCCGGAGGTGAGTCTCTTCGCCGGCGTGCACTACTTGTCGTCCCCTCCCCCGAATCCCGGAAGGCGCCGGAGCCGCCGGCGCGAGGGCCGCGTCGAGCCGGCCGCCATGACGCGATGCCATCAGGCGGGTAAACAAGTTAAGCAGACAAAACACGCTCGTTAAGGTCGTTATTATACTGGCCTGCGGGACTCTGTCCTTATCCGAGCGGCGAATCAGAGCTCCGCGCCGAGAGAGCCAGCAGAGAGCGGCGCGGCTCGCGGCCGCGGTGTCGTTAGCGGGCCGT